AGCACACACCTGCTCACCATCCCACTTCTCTGCCATGTCTTGACGCAGCACATAGCACTTGCCATTAGCTGAGCAGATGCCCGCGCCATGCTCTTGGACTTTACAGTCATCAGAATGGTGATGCTAATAAATAAAATTCTTTCCTTTATAAATTAACCAGCCTTAAATTTTCTGTTACAGCAACTCAAAATGGACTAAAATGAGGGTAAAAGAGGCATATGCAGATGGTATCTTCTCCTCTTTGTTGACATAGAAATTTACTAGCTCTGTATGGGACTAGAGTGCAGAGAATTATCCAAGCTCAATAGCAGATGTATTGCTTTGTTTATTTTTTAAACAACTTTATTAGGATATAATTTACAAACCATAAAATTCATCCATTTTGTGTATGATTTAATGATTTTTAGTAAATATACATACCGTGTTTCCCCGAAAATAAGACCTACCCATAAAATAAGCCCTAGCAGGATTTCTAAGCATTTGCGCAATATAAGCCCTACCCCGAAAATAAGACCTAGTGATGGGTGTGGCTATGCAGCATATCTGCACAACCCATGCATTTTGTCATGGAGTGGTAAAGAAGATGAGCAGCCCTTCTCATCTGCCCCATGGTGACAACTGCTGTCCCAGAGGTGACTAGAAAGGTGCGGGCAGCCCCACCAACAAGGTCGGCTCCCCTGTCAGGTCCCGGCCATCCTGTACATGCTGCAAGCTGAGGCTTTGAGGAAAAAATAACACATCCCCTGAAAGTAAGCTCTAGGGTGTCTTTTTGGGGAAAAGTAAATATAAGACCCTGTCTTATTTTCAGGGAAACACAGTAGTTCTGCAATCATTACCAAAATCCAGTTTTAGAACATTTTATTCCTCTAAAAAGATCTCTTGTGTCCATTTGCAGTCACCCCCACCCCCACCCACCATTTCTATCTCTAACTCCAGGCAGCCATTAATCTACTTTCTGTCTCTTTAAGTTTGCCTCTCTGAATATGTCATATATGGAATATTCATGGAATCATCCAATATGTGCTCTTTTTCATATGACTTCCTTCACTTAAAATGTTTTATGGTTTATTCATAATGTAGCATGCATCAGTTTCCCATTGCTTTTTATTGCTAAATATTTTTCAATTGTATATATATATATACCACATTTTGTTTATCATTTACCAATTGATAGGCACCTAGATTATCTCTACTTTTTATCTATTATGAATAATGCTGACATGAACATTTACCTACAAGTCTTTGTGTGGACATATGCTTTCCTCTCTTTTGGGTATATTCCTAGCAGTAGAATTGCTGTGTCATATAGTAAATTTAAATTTATTTTATGAAAAACTTCCAAACTGTTTTCCAAAGCAGTTGATCCATTTTACTTTCCCACCAGCAATATATCAGAATTCTAGTTTTTCTACATTCTTGCCAACATTTGTGATTGTCTTCTATTTTGGTTAATAATGCCATTCTAGTGAGTGTGAAAAGATACCTCATTGTGGTTTTGATTTGCATTTTCCGAATGCCTAAGAGTTTTAAGCATCTTTTCATTGCTTATTAGCAATTCCCATGTCTTTTTGTGAGACAGAGTCTCACCTTGTTGCCTAGGCTAGAGTGCCATGGTGTCACCCTAGCTCACAGCAACCTCAAACTCCTGGGCTCAAGCAATCCTTCTGCCTCAGCCTCCAGAGTAGCTGGGACTACAGGCATGTGCCACCATGCCTGGCTAATTTATTGTATATATATTTTTAGTTGTCCAGCTAATTTCTTTCTATTTTTTTTTTTCAGTAGAGATGGGGTCTCGCTGTTGCTCATGCTGGTCTCTAACTCCTGAGCTCAAAAGATCCGCTGGCCTTGGCCTCCCAGAGTACCAGGATTACAGGCGTGAGCCACTGTGCCCAGCCCCCATATCTTTTTTATTGGTTTTTTTTTGTAATGATTATTTTATTTTATTTTTTAAATATGCATGTATATACTTTATTTCAGAATATTTTAGGGGTGTAAATGTTTAGGTAACATATATTGCCTTTGCTCCACCTGAGTCAGAGCTACAAGCTTGTCCATACCCCAGACAGTGCACACTGTACCCATTAGGTGTGAATATACCCATCCCCTTCTTCCCACTCCTGACGAATGTTACTACCATATGTGCACATAAGTGTTGATCAATTACTACTAATTTGATGATGAGTACATGTGGTGCTTGTTTTTGCATTCTTGTGATACTTCATTTAGTAGAATGGGCTCCAGCTCCATACAGGATAATATAAGAGGTGCTGGATCACCATTATTTTTTGTGTCTCAGTAGAACTCCATGGTATACATATACCACATTTTATTAATCCACTCATGTATTGATGGGCACTTGGGTTGTTTCCATATCTTTGCAATTGTGAATTGTGCTGCTATAAACATTCAAGTGCAGATGTCTTTTTTATAAAATGTATTTTTTTTCCTTTGGGTAGATGCCCAGACATGGGATAGGTGGATCAAATGGTAATTCTACTTTTAGCCCTTTGAGGTATCTCCATGTTACTTTCCATAGAGGTTGTACTAGTTTGCAGTCCCACCAGCAGTGTATTAGTGCTCCTATCTCTCTGCATCCACACCAGTATTTGTTGTTTTGGGGATTTTTGACAAAAGCCATACTCACTGGAGTTAAGTGCTATCTCATTATGGTTTTGATTTTCATTTCCCTAATGATTACTGATGTTGAGCATTTTTCATATGTTTGTTGGTCATTTATCTTCTTTTGAAAAGTTTCTATTCATGTCTTTTGACCACATTTTAATGGGTTTTTTAAATTTTTTTTCTGGCTAATTTTCATCAGTTCTATATAGGTTCTAGTTATCAGCCCTTTATTGAATGTGCAGCATGCAAATATTTTCTCCCATTCTGTAGATTGTCTGTTTGCTCTCATGATAGTTTCCTTGGCTATGCAGAAGCTTTTTAATTTGATCAGCTCCCATTTATTTATTTTTGTTGCTGTGATTGCCTTTGGGGGTCTTCTTCATAAATTATTTTCCTAGGCTGATGCCTATAAGAGGTTTTTCCAACATTTTCTTCTAGAATCCTTACAGTTTCATGCCTTAGAGTTGTGAGTTGATTGTGAGTTGTTATCCATTGTGAGTTGATTTTTGTGAGAGGTGAGAGGTGCAGATCCTGTTTCAGTCTTCTACATGTGGCTATCCAGTTTTCCCAGTGCCATTTATTGAATAAGGATTCTTTTCCCCAGTGTATGTTTTTATCTGCTTTGTCAAAGATCAGACAGCTATATGGGGATGGTTTTATATCTGGGTTCTCAGTTCTGTTCCATTGGTCTATGTCTCTGTTCTTGTGACAGTACCATGCTGTCATTGGTTTTTTTAATTCCTTAATATAGAATCGTTGACTTTTAGAAATTGTATGGCCTAACCCCTTTATTTTTAAAAATAAGAGATATGAAAACTGGAGATACAAACTGATTTTCCCAAGGCACAAGAACAAACCTATGGTAAACTGGCACTGTAATTTCCTAGCTCTGGATTGAGTTGAAATGGAATTATACATTTTCCCATTCTTCTGTCATTTGTGTGGCAGTAATTAAATCATTCTCTAATATAGTTATTAGTAAAAAGAAACTAACAAATGGAAGGCCAAAATTATAGATTCCTTAGGAACAAGTATCGTCTTCTTCATCTTTATGATTCTCTTTGTACCTACCGTAGTCTCTAACCCATTGTAGGTGCTTACTGAATGTATGTTAAATGGAAAAGCATTAATGAAGTTTCAGTCCAGTCAGGATTATATCAAACCAAGTGTAATGATAGCCCTTGACTATGTCGAATATATCCTGGATTTCATATCGGTATACAGCCTTAAAATTTTTTTAAATACTGTGGACACCAATAATCATAAACCCATTAACTCAAAGTGGTAAATCTTTGACCATCTACCTCAGCACTATCCAGACTGCTTTCAGAATACAGATGTCCAGGCCTTACTCCATACTAACCAAATCTATATCCCTGAAGGTGAGACCTGGGACTCTACATTTTTTAAATTCCTCCAAAAATTCTGATGCACCAAAAGAAAAAAAAAAAAAAAAAAAAAGATGAAACCTACTGACATAACAGATGTTGTGCAACACATTTTGGGATTATATACTTGAAGGCCTTAGGTAGAATAAGAACTGGTGAATTACAAGCAATTCTAGGCCTGGAAAACTCAAAGTACGTCTCTACTCTAGTTATCTGGAAAGTGAGATTTTATAGGCAACATCAGTCTTCATAATATGTCTGCATTTGCTTGAGTTAGATATGGTTGTACCACATATGGTTGCACTACAACCATATCTAAGCAGTCACCACTGCAATTTATCACCTCCAGCAAATAATTACACAGAAAAGAAGAATGTAAATGATTAAGGATGAACTAAAGCAAATATTCAAAGAAGATGAATAACATAAGATTAGTTAAATCTTTCTGTCTTTCAGCTTGCCACTCCTCATCCAACCTGTCATCAGTATTGCTAATGGGGCCTTATGTGAATGTAAATTGACCATTCTATTTAGACTTGCTCAAACTATCATACAACTTCTTCCACATATTCTCATGGCTGGTAAACCTAACTAAAATGAGTCTCCAAATTCCCTCTGCCCCCATCTACTCTCTCCCATGTTTCATTTTCTTCAAGCATGTCATAGATCATATTAATATATTCCAAAGATGACAGAAAACTATTTCCTATCCCACCTGCACTTCTGCAGTGTGATTTCGCCACGTCCCCATTAAGAGGTGGGCTCTATTTTCTCAACCCCTGCTTTTGAATTTAGATGAGCACTGAGACTGATTACATAATAAACAACATTGCACCACCGCCAGAATTATCCTTGACTATTCCAATGTAAGACAAAATGATTGTTTTAAGGCACTGCATTTTGTGAGGGCTTCTCATACAGTCATAGAGAACTGAAACAAAACACTGAAGAGTGCTTTAAATTGTTTAACTTATACACTCGGTCACTTACTTATTGTCTGTCTGAAGGTAAGCTTCATCAGACCAAGGCCTTCTCTGTCTCATTCACCACTGTGAGTGCAGGACCTGGAATTAAGTAGATGCTCAGTTAATATTTGTTAAATTATTTGGCTGCATTTTTGTACTAGAGACTCTGCAGGCAACCAGTAATGTACTCTGGTTGATACTAGTACATTATGGTACTGTACATTCTTCAGAAATAATTCTTCTTTCATTGTTATTGGAGGCATTCATCTTTGTGAGGAAATATGTGTCACTCAAAGTTTAGAAAACATATGGACAAATATAGTATCATCAGACTGATTACCTGCAATTTCCAAAAGAGGATCAAGAGAAACATTTCATCTGGGGCCACTAGAATTTTATTTTCGGCATAACTCTTGAGGTCCAATCAGGGTCACAAAGCAAAGAAACCAACCTTTCCTCTTTGGCCACAGCAGTGGCTGATACTGAGCCATACAAGGGGAGTAAACTTAATGTATTACCTGGAGAAGGAGGATGGCTTTCAAGGATAAGAAAGGAGCTATGTAAGAAATACCAGGAAAAGCTTGGGTTCACAGTTCTCTGTTTTCAAGGTCCTCAAAGTTCTTCACTGATTGAGGATTTGATAATTAGAGTACAGTATAATTTCCATCCATTGAAAGACTGATATTGAAGCCTGTTCATCTCCTCTTTATACATAATAAAAACCTTGAGAACTCCAGTAGTTTTGTATCTTCTAGAAAATTAAGTGTTAAAAGCCATCCTAAATGTATGTAAACTTGCAATTGGGACCTTTCCTAGAAAGCATATTTATGCAACAAATGTATTTTTTCAAAAACAATTTCTCTTTTTCTGTAAGTATCCTAATAGTACTAGACATATAGTTTGTCTGCTCTTTTTGTTGGTCTACGAAAGAGCTTAGAATATTAAATAGAAAGAACATTATCCACTTTGCCAAAGAAGTAGTCTGTTTCCTCCCAAATATCCAATGTTCATTTTCCCTAGTTTAAGCATGGCAAGCAATTACAGACCTAGAGAGACACTGTTCCAAGCTCTGCATAGATGTCATGGGTAGATGAATGTGCATGTCTTATATGGAGCCATTAGCCCTAGAAAAAAAAATGATAATAGCAATGAGAATGTTAGCAAGCCTTTCTTTAGCCCTTCCCTATTTCATATGAGGTTTCCTTCGTGCTTCTCCCTTCCCTCATGGAGCATTGTAAATGCATTTGGCATTTGGGGATTTTGTCAAAGATTTTCAGATTTTCATTTTATAGGTGCTATTCATCTAGTCTCCTAATTCTCTGTAAAATTGCAGATTTAGTCTCTAAAGTTGTACAAGGTGGCCACAAATGTAAATTCACATTATTACTATGTTTAAATTTCCTGGCCCAATATTCTATCTGTATTTATGAATTTATTTAGCTCAATGTCTCAGTTTTAAAACACACCATTCCAAATGCAAGATTCAGATCATTATACATGTTAAATGAGTCAAATTGTACCCTCTTCCAATATCAGCATGGTACCATCCCTCCCACTACCACACCATCAGTAACCCCAGCAGCCTAAATAATCCTTCTCAGTTCCCAGCTGCAGCATGCAAAGGGGCATTCTCATGGTTGGTACTTATGTAGAATGAAACTATTAAAGAGTTAAATACCTGGACTACTTATAATTACAGAAAGATAGCTGGGTCATTAGCAAGAGAGTCTGACATTCACCTTGATCACAGCTCTGAAAAACACAGTCATGCACCGCAGAACATTTTCATCAATGATGGACCACACAGACGATGGTGGTTCCACAAGATTATAATGGAGCATATATAGATACCTGATATGTGGTATATGGTACTTGATATTGCAGGTCAAGTAGGGGAAATGATTGATATCCAGTAATGGTGCTGGGACATTTGGCTTTCCATATGTAAAAATATACATAAATAAAAATTCATATACTATCTAGGCTTTTGTAAGTATACTATGATGTTTGCACAGTAATGAAATTGCCTAACAATGCATTTCTCAGAACATATCCCTGTCATTAAGCAATCCATACTGTATTCTTTTTTTCCCCCTTAAAGTAATATTATGACATGACATTTATCATATTAGTCAGCTCAGGTTGCCATAACAAAATATAGGTTGGTGGCTTAAACAACAGGAATTTCTTTCTCATAGTTCTGAAGGATGGGAAGTCCAAGAGCAATGTACTGCCTGATTTAGTGCCTAGTCAGGGCTTCTCATTGTGTCATTACATGGAAGAAAAAGAAAGAAAGCAAGCTCTCTGGTGTTTCCTTTTATATTAATAATAGCACTATCCCATCATGAGGGCTCAACCACATAACCTCATCTAAACCAATTACTTCCCAAAGGCTCCATCTTCAAATGCCATCACATTGGAGATTATTACTTCAACATATGATTGGTGCAGGGGGTAATACAGGACCAAAGCAAGGCTGAAAAACCAGAGCTCCTATGCCCACTACTATAGGATCTGTCTATTGACTTGTTCCCCTTGAATCTGACATCTACATTTCTATAAAATGGAGGGACCAGTTTTCAGTTTGTATCTATAAGTTACAAAAGTTTTAACAAAGGAGCAAAGTTGAAATTTCCTGGCACAAAGGAACCAAATAGGAAGGGCAGACATCCAGGCAAACAGTGTATTCTGAGTAAAGACACAGAAAGCTGCGAAGCTGTAAGAAGGAAAAAGAAGTCTCTTCCAGGGCAACTTCACCAGTAGCAGATATTTGACAGAAGGCATTGCAAAGAAGTAGAGGCTACTGACCCAAGAACACAACATCTGCAGCCTAAACATTGAACAGAAGAGAATTAATACCTTGTCGGAGACCAGAATATGTCACCCCAAAATATGAAGGATTGTAGAGCTGAAGGCAATTAAGAAGAAGCAGATGCAGGAAAGTCCTCTGCCCTTCCTCTATCTGCCTAAAAGCAGGACATAGATTTACAAAGACAAAAGGTAACCTGTCCTCCCCCTAATAGGGAGAATGAAGGTTAACCACTGAAGACAACTTTGGACACTTAGCTTAGAGATGGCAGCAAAGGAATCCACATTAACAATCTTTACTAGTTAGCCTTTATCTGCTTTTTTTATTTTTTTGCCTTCCCACAATTTGCTCCCCCTAATGACTCAAAGTCCTTTTCCTTTGTCTTGACATTTCTCTAAAATTTTACTGTTTTTTGTTAAAGATCTTATATAAGCTGGAATTCAAAGCCACCTCTTTAAGAAGCACTCATTCCCTGGGTGTTATATATATATAACATGTATATTAACATGTATATTATATATACATGTTAATAAACTTGTGTTTGTTTTTCTCTTGTTAACCTGCCTTTGTTACAGGGGTCCATTATAGCAAAAACTTATGAGAGTTGTGTTAGAAACGCAGAGGGAGGAATGCGTGAGGCCAGGATAGGTGAAAAGAAGTTTATTTTAACGTCTGCTTACAGGTGGGCTGAGTCCAAGGTGACATCAGCCCCGAAATGGTGAATGTTCAGGGTTTTTATGGGCAGATTTGGCCAGCCCCCAAAGGGAGTATGGGGCTATCTTGCATAAACTGGACATACCTTGCAAGAGCAGGATACTGAGTTTTGGCTGTTTATCTGCTCATAGAATTTTCCACTGGCCTCCAAATTTAGCCTAACAAGTTGAAGAAAGGATTATTTTTTTCTTCCCCTACAACCTCATAGCAGAATCCCTAGAACCTAAACATGCAAGAAAACCAGACAGGTTCAGAATGGAAATTATTCCCTTTACTATCATTCAAAGTTTATGTAGTATAACATAATTCTCATTCCATAAAATGGTGTAATTAATTCTCAGCAAATCCTTTTTATTATTTTCATAAATTCATGAGGATTTAAAACCCTCTAGATATCAGATGCCCAAGGTGAGAAAGCTAGATAAATGGTATATTTTAAAGATTGCCATCCTCACAAGGAGCAAGCACTTGCTGTATCTCACTTTCAATACTGACATTAGTTTATGAGTCACTGATGCCAGCTTAACTCACACAAATCTATAAAATAATGGAGATCAAAGATTGCAAATTATTGTCTAGTACCCTCTCAATGCACAAGTCCAACTGGAACATTAACCATCTACCCATCAGATGTGCAAAGAGACAGATGCCACCTAGTGTTTGATAGCCTCAAGTGCATCCTGATTATACTCCTGAGTCTAGTTCCATGTTGGAATTATCCAGATACAGCCGCGTCAAAAGGTACTGCGATATATTACATGCAAAGAACACTCAACACATTCTGGAGCTAGTATTTCCATTAACTTGCTATGTTATGCTGAGCAAGACCCCCATGTGTCTTGAATTAGTTGCTCTCCATGACCTCTAATAAGTACTATATTATAGTAGACTCTGATTTCAGTTCTGACTAGTGCAAAGCCACCTGTGGAAATCTAACCTGTATACATTGAAATCTTGATATAGAGCAGAACCAAATCCCAGAAAAGCAAACAACACTTTCTAGGGCTAACCTGTGATGGAGGTTGATTCTACTCTGTAAAGTAGAATGTTTTCTGTATTAATGCAGTACAGACATGGATTTGAGACACAAGTTCACATTAGATCACTCTAAGCAATGATTTATCATCAGGTACAGCAAGGGAAAGAAAGAAGTAAAGTCAAGATGACCAAAACTCTTGGTTTTCAAAACATTTCTAACAAATCATTATAAAAAAGCATGCTAGCTGCTTAGACTTTGTCTTATAGTTGGAAATAATTAAGAAAAATGTTCACCAGTTTTATATACTAAAGGATTCTGTACAATTTCTGTTAAACTAGACTACATGACAATTAAGATCTTTCCAAAAAGAAAAACGCATGGAAAATACAGCAAAATCTTGTTTCTTGCGCCTTGAATTCTTGAGATCATCATGTTCTATTCTCAAATAAGTTTGGTAACCTATAAAGTGGTCAGGCCTGTGTCCTGTGGTTTATAAAGACAGCAGCAGTGTCATACATGGGAAATCTGTCTGTGTTCTAAGAGATCTGCAAGTGACCCGGCCTGCTTGATAGAGGATTTCCAACCTGCTGCTCAGTCTATAAGATTTGGGTGATGTGCAACTCTCACCTTGAGAAGTATGAACACAGATTCATCGTAAGTATACTAACCTCATGAAATGGGATAAACCTTCTGCATTAACAGCGTGGGAAGTCTGTCTACAAACACCTAGAGACACTTTGTGCTTAGTCTATCCCTTCCCTTTTCAGTGCTTCCCTGTCTGGAAACTGTTCTCACTAACTCGAAACAACTCAAGACAAGTCCTTCAGCCTGATCACAAACCAACCTTATCTTGATGTAGGTTGAGCTTCTCTGTCTGCCAATTCCATCCCACATGTCAATTAAGGAAAGCTACTTATTATGGGTTTTTTTTTAATCCTTATCTGTCTAATGTGGAGGCCAATCTCTTGAGGCAACCAAAGCAGGTTCTGTCATCTTTGAAGGCTTAAGAACTGCTGAGCAGTTCCCTCCCCCTCCCTCCTGGCGCTGAATTTTCCTGTTGTCAATCATCAGCTTTTCTCCACGAGCAGCTACTCCATGTCATTCCATCCTTAATCCCATCTAGGACCAATTATGTCTCCAAGAATGAGAGACTTTTTCATCTCTTTGAAATGATTTAGATCCTAAATGGACTTCACGGCAGAGAGGCCAATGTTCCTGATAGGGTGTCTGCCTTCTTCAATTTTTATGACTCTCCCCGAAGGCCAGCATCCGTGAGCTCCAACAGACTTGCAAGTTCTTTGCTGAGAGCCAACTGTAGACAATAAATCTCTTTGTTTCCCAAAAGCCAATTATTAGATCACTCTCCAGTGATCTAAAACTGAATATTCTTTAGTTTTTTTCTTTAAGCTACATAGTCCAAGTATTTTATATTCATTTTCCCCTGCCTGCTCTATTTCCCTCTGCTTTCCTTAAAGTCTTATAGCCTGTCATTGTACAGTGAATATTCTGTAACCAGATACACTTTGGCATAACTGAAAATGAGATTAATTTGTCACTTCCAAATATTTCGTTTCTGCATAGCAACAGCATCATCCTTACTTCATGAGCCACAGCAGAAATTTGCCAACATTGGGTAGGCAATCCATTGTGATTTTTTACTTCTTTCATGCTATTCTTAGTCTTTGCCCTTACTGTCTTTATAGTT